AGAGCAGAAATAAATGAAATGGGAATGATAAAAACAACAGAAAGGATTGATGAAACTGAGAACTGGTTCTATGAATAAGATAAACAAAATCAACAAACCTTTAGCTAGACTAAGAAAAAAAATGAAAAGACTCAAGTAAAATGAAGAGTGAAAAAGAAGACATTAGGGGCACCTGGGTGGCTCAGTCAGTTAAGCGTCTGCCTTCAGCTCAGGTCCTGATCTCGGGGTCATGGGATCGAGTCCCACATCAGGTTCCCTGCTCAGCACGGAGTCTGCTTGTCTCTCTCCCTCTGCTCCTGTTCCTCCCCTGCTTGTGCTCTCCCTCTCTCTCTCAAATAAATAAATAAAATATTTTTAAAAAGAATAGAAAAGAAAAAGACATTACAACTGAGACTGCAGAAAAACAGGATTGTGAGACTAAACAATTACAAGCCAAAAACTCAGATAACTTAGAAGAAACAGATCCATTCCTAGAAACAAGCAACCTACCAAACTGAATCAGGAAGAAATAAAAAATCTGAACAGACCAATAGACACTAAAGAGATTGAAGCAGTAATGAAAAACCTCCCAACACAGAAACCTCCCCCAGGACCAGACAGCTTCACTGGAGATTCTACCAGACAGTCAAAGAAGAATTAAAACCAATTCTTCTCAAACTCTTCCAAAAAATTGAGGAGGAAGGAATACTTACAACATCAGCTTGTGAGGCTGGCATTGCCCTGATACCAAAGCCAGAGAAGGACTCCACAAGAAAAGAAACCTACAGACCAATATCTCTGATGAATCCAGATGCAAAAACTCTCAACAACATATTAGCAAACTGAATTCAAGAACACATAAAAAAGATTATACATCATGAGCAAGTAGGATTTATCCCTGGAATGCAAGGATCATTAAACATACACAAATCAATGTGATACATCACATTAATAAAACGAAAGGAAAAAAATCACATGACCATCTGAATAGATGCTGAAAAAGCACTCGACAAAATACATCATTTCATAAAAACCCTCAGCAGATCGGGTATAGAAGGAACGAACCTCAATACATTAGAGGCCATATGTTATGAGCCCATGGCTAACAGTATACTCACTGGTGAAAAATTGAAAGCTTTTCCTCAAGGAGCAGGAACAAGATGTGGATGCCCACACACACCGCTCTTATTCAGTTTGGTATTAGAAGTCCTTGCTAAAGCAATTAGGCAGGACAAAGAAATAACAGGCACCCAAATCAGGAAGGAAGAAGTGAATCTGTCACTGTTTGCAGATAATATGACTGGGTATACAGAAAATCTGAAAGGCTGTTAGAGTTCAGTTAAGTTGCAGGATACAGAATCACAGAAATCATTGGCATTCCTATACACTAAGAATGAAACATCCAAAAAAGAAATAAAGAAAACTACCCCATTCGCAATAGCATCAAAAACAATAAAATATTAGGAATAAATTTAACCAAGGATGTGAAAGTCTGTACAGTGAACTACAAGACTTTGCTGAAAGAAACCAAAGAAATGGAAAGACAAACAAATGGGAAGACATCCTCTGTTTCATGGATCAGAAGAATTTATATTGTTAAAGTGTCCTTCTTGAGGAAAAAAGAACAAAGCCAGAGACATCACACTTCCTGACTCCAAACTATACTACAAAGCTTCAGGAATAAAAACAGTATGTTACTGCACAGACAGACAGAAATAAACACATAGACCAATGGAACAGAATAGAAGGCACAGAAGTGAACCCCTGCTTATACGGCCAAAAAAACATTCAACAAGGAAGCCAAGAACACACAATGGGGAAAGAACAGTCTTGTCCACAAGTGAGGTGGGGAAAACTGGATGAGGACATGCAATGAAACTAGCGCCCTATCTTACACCAGTCACAAAAATTCACTCAAATAGATTAAAGACTGAAGCAGAATGACCTGGTACTATAAACTCCTAGAAGTAAGTGTAGGGAAGAAACTCCTTAACATTGGTTTTGGCAATGATTCCTTGAATATGACACCAGCAGCACCAAAGACAAAAGTGAAAATGAACAAATAGGGCTCCAGGAAACTTAAAACCTCTGCACAGCAAAAGGGACCATTAACAAGACGAAGAAGCACTCTACAGAATGGAAGAAAATTTTTGCAAGCCATACTTTGGATAAGGAGTTAATGCTGAAAATATATAAAGAACTCATACAAGTCAAAATCAAAAACAATCTGATTGAAAAATGGGTAGAACGAGATCTTTCTCCAAAGAACACATCCCAACGGCCAACAGACACATGAAAAGATGCTCATCATCACTCATCATCAGGGAAATGCAAATCAAAACCACAATGAGATATCACCTCACACCTGTCAGAGGGCCTATTATCAAGAAGACAAGAGATAAAAATTGCTGGCAAGGGTCTGGAGCAAAGGGAACTCTTTCACACTGCTGGTGCGCATGTACATTGATTCAACCACAACGGAAAACAATACGAAGGCTTCTCAAAAATTAAAAATAGACCCAACAATGATCCAGTGTGATTCCATTTCTGGGTATACACACAAAGGAAATAAAAACAGGATTTTGAAGAGAGATATGCACTCCTATGTTTTCTGCAGCGTTGTTCACAATAGCCAATAAGTGCCCATCAATAAATGGATGGATAAAGAAGATGTGGTATATAAATACAATGGAATATCATACAGCCATGAGAAAAGAGGACATCCTGCCATTTGCAACAACATGCTGGACCTTGTGGAAATTATGTAAGTGAAATAAGTCAGACAGAGAAAGACAAATCCTGTAGGACACCACTTATCAGTGTGATCTAAAAAAGCCAAACTCACAAAAACAGAGAGCAAAATGGTGGTTACCAGGGGTGGGGAGTGGAGGGGACAGGGCAGATGTTGCCTAAGGGTACAGATTTATAACGAATAGTGAGCACAGGCAACAATACTGTATTATCATCAACAAACTTGCTAGGAACCCAGAACTTAATTATTCTAATGACTAAAAAGACAGAATAATTATGTAATATGATAGAAGTGCTAATTGTTGCAATCATATTATGATATATAATGTATTAAGATACATAAATGTATCAACATGGACTCCTTAAATTTACACAATGTTATAGTCAAATAGATTTCAGTTAAAAAAATGGATCAGGGTCAAGATCTGGGTAAGTCTATAGGGTGAATACCAAAGCAAGGCTGTGCATCAGGTCACAGTCGAGGACAGGATAAGGGCCTGTGTCAGTTAAGGATCTGAAGAAGGGTCAGGGTCGAGGTCAGGGTTAAGTGAAGTTTCATAATCAGTATGTGGCTGGATCAGGATCATGAGGGTCAGGAACATGATCAAGTCCAGCAGAGGTTCAGTCAGATCACTGTTAATGGAAGGGTCAAGGTCAGTGTTAGGGTGAGAATCGAGAAGAGGGTGAGGGTCAAATTCACATGAAGTCCTGGGTCAGGGTCAGTGTCACAGTGAAGGTCGGAAGGGTCAGGGTCAGGTAAAGGTTGAGTTTTGTCAGCAAGGTGTGAGGGTGTCTCAGGGCCTGAATGACAATCAGTCCCATCAATCCAGGGGTGTTGAGCGTTAGAATCAGGGCCAAAACCAGGGTTAAGAGTAGGCTCTGATCTGTGTGAGGGACAGTTTGGGTGATGGTTGGGTTTTGGAGTCAGGGTCAGAGTCCAGTTTATCAACAAGGGAAGATCAGGGCAAGGGTCAAATTTAGATGACTGAGTTTTATGGTCAAGGTCATGATAAGAGTCTGGGTGAGGATTATGGTCAGAGTGAAAGCAAGCCTCAGGGTTAGAGTTAGGATAAGGTCACCGTCAGGGTGGTGATAACGGTCAGATAGCATTAGGATATTTTCGGAGTGAAGTTCTGACTGAAAATCAGGGTTATGTGAGGGATGTAGTCAACGTCAGTGTCAGAGTCAGACATGATCAGGGGAGGGTCCGGGTGAGACCCTCAGGGAACAGTGAGGTTGAGTGAAGGTCAACTTGTGAGTAGGATTAGGGAGAGCATTACTGTTAGAGTGAGGGTAAAGCTTAGGGTAGAATCAGAGTCAGGGTAATAAGTCAAGGTCAGGGTTGGAATGACGGTGTGTGAGGTTGAGGTTCAGGGTTAAGAGTAACAGGGTCGGGCGCCTGGGTGGCTCAGTTGGTTGAGCGACTGCCTTCGGCTCAGGTCATGATCCTGGAGTCCCGGGATCGAGTCCCACATCGGGCTCCCTGCTCAGCGGGGAGTCTGCTTCTCCCTCTGACCCTCTTCCCTCTCGTGCTCTCTATCTCTCATTCTCTCTCTCTTGAATGAATAAATAAAAATCTTTAAAAAAAAAAAAGAGTAACAGGGTCATGGTCAAGGTGAGGGTCAAGATCAGTGTCACAGTAAAGTTGGTCAGCAATCCCTTCCCCACCACCCAGCACCACGTGCAGATTTGCAGATGCCACCTCCTGAAATGCTCTCCCGCACTGAGCTCACCTGCTTGGAGTCCTCAGTGCTGCCGAACCCTCCCTGCCGACCTCCACAGGGATACAGGTGTCACGAAGGCAGGGATCTTGGAGCAGAATGTTTTGTACATTGATGGATTCCAAGCACTCAGAAGAACCTGTGGCCTACAGCAGGTGCTCAACTGAAAGCTTATTTAATAAGCAACGAATATCCATTAAGGTATTTCTGGAGGGAAAAATGACATCTGGAAATAAAACTGTTCAGTTGTTCTCTCGGTGGAAGAATTACAAGAAACTTTCATGGTTGACTTGACACATGTCCACACTGCTCAAAATTTTTAAAAAATTAATGTTATTTTATAATGACCAAAAATGGATTCTTCCATTTTGAGAGAAAACAAAGAACTCCAGGTAAAGTTCCCAGTAAAGTGACAAGAGACTCACTGCACTGTAGCTATTAGCTAAGCCTCAAACAACTGGCAGCCTTTTGGGGAGCCTTGGAGGGAGCATCCTCGAAGAAACCCTACTCTAGTTCTCTAAGGAGGAAAGACAAACCAAGAGGCAAGACAACACGGAAGGTCTATTTATTCAACAGCAGCTTTGAAAAGGAACCCTCCAGACAGTGAGGGGATGTATTTCCCCTTTTCTACTTCACTCCTTTCCCACACAGTTCTGTCCTTCACAGGCTACAGCCTGATGCAGAAAAGGTGACTGCCTTAGATATACTTATATACGACCTTGGAGGGCACAGTCTGGAGGTGCAGACGGACAGGACATTTGTAAAAGTGGGACAGCAGAGTCTCACTGTAGCCCACCAGGAAGTAGAACTTGTGTGCAGGCAGCTGCCTCAGGACCAGGGCACAGATCTCCAACTGGTTAGCCCGGCGCTTTAGGATCAGCTGGTCGGCCAGACACCCTGGGAAGGTGCCCAGCATGAACTTCCGGAGGAAAACATCCTCCACTGTTCGCTCTGCAGCATGGTTCTCCCCATCCAGGTTACCTGAAAGGAGAAGGGCACCTCGAAGACCCAGCAGAAACTCCAGAGGTAACATCCAAGAGCCTGGGCACTCAATTCCACCCCCACCCTGGCTTCTTCTCTCTTCTTCTACAAGTGGAAGAAAAATAATAACACTTTAAAGTCAAAGTACATTATTTCATTACATTCACAAACAAATCCTGTGAAGTAGGTATTATCAGTTATCCTGGTTTTACAAAAGGGAAGACTGAGGCCTTAGCAGGGCACAAAACTCAGATGATCCTTTCCTGTCTAGCCTTTTCCCACTCTTTCTGGACATTTATAGAAGCACTGGCCATCCGTTGGCCCAGAGAGATGAGGCCACCAGCTACTTCTGAGACTGGGGACATGAGCTCTCTCACCTTCCAGGGCCATGGCCTCAACCAGTGGACTGTCAGTGTAGGTCCTGACACTCCTACACCTCGTACAGTGTGCCTGAAGAGTCTCCACACCCAGCCCCAGACCTCCAAACCCAGCCCCAGGTCCCCAGATCCTGAAACTCCTACACCTCGTACAGTATGCCTGAAGAGTCTCCACGCCTGGGTGGCTCAGGTGGTTAAGTGACCGCTTTCAGCTCAGGTCATGATCTTAGAGTCCCGGGATCGAGTCCACATCGGGATCCCGACTCTCGGTGAGTCTGCTTCTCCCTCCGGCCCTCCCCCCTCTCATGCTCTCTTTCTCCTTTATTCTCTCTCAAATAAATAAAAGTCTTTAAAAAACAAAAACAAAGAGTCTCCACACCCAGCCCCAGACCTTAGAACCAGAACCTGAAAAGGGTGGGGGACAGGAATCTGTATTTTAAGTTCTCTAGACAGACGGATCTCAAAACACCCAAGCTGAGAAGCCTCATACTGAACAAAACACAGCTGATTCTCCCTAGTTCCCAGTAGTTATGTTCTATAAAGTCACCGTGAGCAATGAGTTAGGGAACACTGAACCCTCGCTCCTAGGGGTTATAAGGGGTTTGGTTTCTGCGTGCCCTTGGTTAAGACACATCAATATACAACCTTGTTTCGTGTGTGTTTCTGCTTAAAGACCCCTTGTTTCATACACAGGACCGATTAACACTGAACTCTCCGCCAACAGCAGTATAACTCGTGCCTGAAGGAAGCTGACCAAACATGCATATTTTCTCCCCAGTGTACCTCACACCCTTCTTGTGCTTCACACTTCAGCATTAGGGCTATTTTAAGGCATTGAAATCACCCACAAAAAGCACAGAACTGTAAACATGGGGCACTAACGGAGCTCGGAAAGAACACTTGTTTACAGCAGGAGCGGAATCAAGAAGGCAGCGCCCCCGGCAGGGAAGGTGTGTGCGGGGACCCAGCTCGGCCCACGGCCCACAGTGATTCGGGAATACGAAATCTGAGCACGAACACCGCGGAATGAGGAGTTGAATCAAGCCTCCGCACGTGTTCATCTGGGCTCTGCGTGATAGCCACGCCCGAGAACTTCACCCGCGGGGCCCCCAGCACCGCGGCCCTCACCTGTGTGCAGCGACAGCCAGCCCTTGCGGTGCGCGATGTAGTGCGGGGCGTGCGCTTCCTCGTACGTCACCGGCTTGTCCCCCTTGCCCACTCTGACTCGGGCCGCCCGGTTCTAGGCGCAGAGATGGGCCGTGACTCCACGTTCCCACCGACCCAAGCTGCGGGGCCCCACCCCCGCGCCCCCGGCCCTCGGGTCCCCCGCCCCTCCGTCCCTGCGTTCTCCGCCCCCCGGACCCTCCGCCCCCGGGTCCCTGGCCCCCGACCCCAGGAACCCTCGGACCCCCAGGCCCAGCCGCGCTCACCTTGGCGCAGACCGCGGACGTGTGTAGAGCGCGCCAGGAGCACGGCAGCTCTCGGCTCCAGGAGAGCACCTGTGAGAAGGGGGGGACGTGAGACGGAGGCTAAGGCCCCCACCACAGACCGGGGACCCCGCCAGCGTCGCCCACTCACCGGGAGCCCGAGGCCCCGGCAGCACACGTGCGCCGCCATCTTGGACCCGGCGCAGCGCGCCGGGCGTACCACAGCGCTGCGAGGGGAGACGAGGCGGGGCGACCTCAGGGCAAAGGTCAACCCCCAGCGGGCCGCGACGGCGGACGAGACCAAATCGGAACCTGCGCGGGCGTGCTAGGCGCTTGCGGGGACGGGGCCGAGGAGGGGCGGGGCCTCCCGGCCAGGGCGGAGCCTCTCTGTCGGGGTAGGGTCGCGAGCGGGCGGGGCCTGTCTGTCGGAGCGTGCCGAAGTGGGCGGAGTCTCGGAACGCGGGGCCACAGTGGGAGGAGTCACGGTCGGGGAGGGCCCGTGGTGGGCGGAGTCTCGGTCGGGGCGCGGCCTGTCGGGTCTGGCCGCGGTGGGCGGAGTCTCGGTCGGGGCGTGACCACCCTGCCGGGCGTGGCAGCGGTGGGCGGAGTCTCGGCCGGTGAGGGTCTGGCGGCTCCGCGGGTGGGAGAGGTTCTGTGCGCGGCCACGCGGTGCAGGGAGCGGGTCTTTCCCGCCGCCCCGCAGCCCAGCAGCCCAGCGACGCCTAGCCGTGCACCTCTCCGCCTGCCACGGTCGGGGTGTGTGTGGTGGTTCAGGTCCGGAACGCAGACGGTGCAGAGGTGAGGTCCCGCCCTCTGGGTGCTCGGAGCGGCAGAGACAGGGCCTCCGGGTCAGCGTGGTGTCTGCTGGGCCCCCTGCGCCCCGCCTGGGGCCCTCGGGGCTTGGCTGCGAGCGGAGCGGGTCGCCACCTTCTAGAAATCAGGCTGCTGAGTTCTGCCTCCAAATAAGTCTTTAAAAAGGAAAGAAAACGAACAAACCTGGCTTTTAGCCACAAAGAAGAAATTCGTTTTGGTTAAAATTTCACCCAGTTCTTCAAGGATGACTTATGCGGAGAATTACGTAGTTTCCCAAGGGACCATACCGTAGTGTCTGGTCGTTGAGGAAGGAAATTTTAAGTAAGAGAGAAAGGGCTGGCTGGGTAAGGAAATTCATACTCAAACCGAGCATTGTCGCGGTAACTGGTATCCAGTAATTATTGTCAGAAAATACCAATACTGGCTATCTTCACAACTCATCACAGAAATGGAAAAAGCATGGACTTTGGAGTCGGACCCAGGTGTGACAATCTTTGGACAGTTGAGCCTCAGCTCCATAGTCTATAAGACGGGTTTTATTAGCAGTACTAGCTCGTAGAGCTGTTAGGATAAATAGCTGATATTGGTTATGTTCCGCTGAATGATATGGAACTGCCAACATTGGGCTGGTTTTGACGTACATCATTTACCCTAATGCTGCTTGCAAAGTCTGCGCTTGCCCTGGTAGGGAGGACTGGATTATCATCTATGTGGAGCGGAAATGGGGGGGGGGGAGATGGTGAGTTGCCCAAAGTCACACATGGGAGGGGCAGAGAGAGACCAAGACATGCATCCTGGCTTCAGGCCACTGTATTCTCAATGGTCAAGATTCCTCTGACCACTGAAAGCTAGGTCCTCAAAAAAACCTTAGTAAAGGGACAGCATCTTTCTTGCCATGGGACATATTCCTAACACTAAGAACATTTTACTTCCAAATGTTTTGAACTATGGCCTCCAACTATTCTGCATATTGGATAAGGGGGCAGAAGGAGAATGAGATCACAATACTTTCCAAATATAAGAACTCTTAACTTTTCCCAAAGGACCCTTTTAATCTGATAGTATTTTTTTCTTTTTAAAGTTTCCCTAAAGTTTGATAATTTCATAATGTGATACATTTTCTAAATCTGCCCAAAGTGGTGAGGAATATGGGAGTTGGTATATGAATTACAGTTCCTGGCACGTGACTGGACCTTCCTGGGCTTCAGTTTCTCTCATCTGTAAAATGGGAACGAAGATAGTTGTTGTGAATATTACCTTGTAAAATGCCTAGCAGAGTGAGCAGCTAATAAATGTGTCTTTAAAAAAGAATAAAGCCGGGGGCGCCTGGCTGGCTCAGCCGGTGGACCATGCCACTCTTGATCTCGGGGTCGTGAGTTTGAGTCCCACGTTTCGTGTAGAGTTAAAAAAAACAAAAAACAACAAAAGCCCCGCCTGTCATGCCTGACATGCACCTCCTCTTGGGGAGATGAACAGACTATTGGGAATTCAGGAGAACTCTCAGGACCACCACCCTCACCAGAGGAAGGAAGAGGCTGGTGTTCCAGCAAAGGGGACTCCTGACTTCTTTTGGAGGCCGTGGGAGGCATTGAGCAGAGGCTTCTGTGGCTCGTTCTACCCTCAAGGCATCAGGCAATTACATCAGCAGATTTGTGTTTGTCTTCATTCCGGTCACTCTCCCTTAGGCCTGAGGTGTCTCCTGGGAAATCCAAACAGCCCTACGTCTTTCAACTTACTAACATCCTGCTCACCTACCTTTTCATTATCTTTCTGCCATGCCTTGTTACAAAAAGGGTTCCAGCTGGTTCCTTGCTGGGGGTGGGGCTGGGGGTGTGTTTGCGTGATTAAAATAACCGAAAACCATTTTTCTTAAACATTAGTATGGATCGTTACATTGTTTTAAATTGCCAGTGGAAACAGTTTAAGGGGATGTTTTTATTTTTCTGTCATTTCCATTTGTTAGTGGTTTTCTTATTTTATTTATTTATTTTGTCAGAGAGACAGAGACAGAGACAGAGCACAAGCCAGGGTGGGGGGCACAGAGGGAAAGACAGACCGAGAAGCAGACTCCCTCCCCACTGAGCAGGGAGCCCGACGCCAGACTCGATCCCAGGACTCTGAGATCGTAACCTGAGCCCAAGGCAGACCCTTCACCAACTGAGCCCCCCAGGTGCCCCTGTTAGTGTTTTGATGTATTTTGCTTCTCCCGTCAGCCCTATAAAGGAGGCAGTAGTCTTGCAGAACAGAAAATGGAGGCTCAGAGAGTCACCTGGGGTCACAGAACTAGCAAGTGGTAGCAAGCTCCTTGTTCCAAAGTATGTTCCTTATCCGGGGTCCCCCTGCGTCATGGGTTGAGCATTCAGAACCATGTGCGTTGGGGGAATGGCCTGGGTTTCTGGAGGTGGGTGCAGAAAGCTCAGGACTTGGCTCTGGCGGACTTCTTGGAAATAGAGCAACCACATTTAGGAACAAGAGACCCACATGAATGGCCCACCTGGGTTCCCACACCAGAACCCTGGGAAGGCAAGGATGCGCACCTGTCTCTTCGCAGACGTGAGCCTCTTTGCTCTCCATGGTAACCAGGAAGAGCTAGGGTCGCCTTTATGCTTTCACGGCTGCTCGTCTGGAGTCCCCTGGGTGCCCCCCCCCCACAAGGATGGGACTGACAGAACGGAGGGGGCGACACCCATGCCTTTTCAGTACTGCTTAGAGGATGCCGATGTACAGCCAGGCTAGAACTAGTGTCCCAAAGTCCAAGTTTATGTGGGAGATTCCCAGAACTTGATTTGGAGAGATCCGTCTCAGGGAGAGGGCTGTTGGCTGCTCCTCACACCTCTTTTGTACCACTGGTCCTGCAAGACTGGGGCAGGTCTCCCTCCGAGAGGCCTGGCCTTCATCCAGTCCTGCCGCTCTTGGGCCACAAGGCATAGGAGGGGGCCCGCTGGCTCGTCTGGACTTCTCTGAGACGGTCCAGTGGGTTCCGGCACAGCTCAAGGGCGTACCTGTCCCGGAGGATGCTGTGCTGGCCAGGCTGCAGGACAATGGGTGAGACAGAGACTGTGGGCCCAGCTGAACTTGCGGAAAGCAGTCCAGCCTGGAACGTGGTCTTCTTTCCTTGGAAGTCACCAGAATCTAGCCTCAGGGAGGGATGCCTTAGCTGGAGACGTCTGCCTTCCTGTTGGATGCAGGGTTAGCCAAGACACCCCTATTCGTGCGGACTTACCCTAACTCAGAACTGCTGACGTTTTGCATTTTGTAAACCTCTGCTAAATCTGGTACTTCGTACTCCTGGTAATTCATTTTCTCCTAATGACCAACCATTCACCAAAGAAAAGTCCCAGAGGCTCTCAGCTCTGTTCTGGGAACTAAGCCAAACCACCAATGAAGTCCAGTTAAAACTGAGTCTTGAATTGTCTGTCCTCTTGTTGTTGCACAGGTAGCCAGAGGGGGGCCAATCGTGCATCCCCCTACCCCTGCTCTCCCTCTGCTGAGGCACAGGAAGAAGGGGGAAGTTCAGTGGGTTAATGATGCTTCTGCATAGGGGCACTGAGGGAAGAGGCCCGGTCCACTGATAGCGGAGCTATCCGGGGCGTGGAGAGGATGAACAGCGGACTGGGCCTCCTGTGTGCAGGCCACTGGAGCTCCTGGTTCTCACACCCCATGCTAGATCTGGACACAAAAATGGGCACGAGGCTCTGCCTTCCACAGGAAGCCCAGATGGGGAGGGCGAAAAGCTGACAAGTAAAAGGAGGTAGGACACAGACCCCTAGGGGGTGGACTAGAGGGGGGCTGCCACCGGAGGCCATCCTGAGAGAGGTGACTGCCAGAGTCGGCCAGGACCAGGGACGAGTCGGAGCCCCAGGCGGACAACAGCATGAGTGAAGCCCCCTCTGCAGGGTGGGTGCTGTAGGGTGAGGGGCGGAAGGTCGGCAAAACCAGGTTCGACATCAGCTGGCTCACTTCTGTGGTCCTGACTCATCTGGGCCCGTAAAGCCGCATTCTGATGTAATTTGGCTGAAGTCTTAGGAACTGAGGATAAGTTTATAACCAAAATCATTTTTTTATTACTGACTCAGAAAAAAAAATAAAAGTTTTTTTTCTTTTTTTTTTAATTGGGTGAATTACAACTGAGGAGCTGGGGAGAGCAGCCATATCAGGCTGACAGAATTCTCAAAACCAGCCTGTGTGTCAGTAAATATAAGATAAGGGGCGCCAGGGTGGCTCAGTCGGTGAAGTGTCTGCCTTCGGCTCAGGTCATGGTCCCAGAGTCCCGAGATCGAGCCCCGCATTGGGCTCCCTGCTCAGCGGGAAGTCCGCCTCTCCCTCTGCCCCTCACCCTGCTCGTGCTCTCTCTCTCAAATAAATTTAAAAAAAAACTTAAATCAATAAATAAATCTAAGATAACATTGATTAGAAGACATTGCTTTGTGTACCATTAAGAGAAAGGGCTGCCAATTTTAAGATAGCACTGATTACAAGATGAATGCTGTTTGGCATGCTGAAATGTTTGAGACTGATGCAGAAGGCAGGCACTTCCCTTCGCTTGAGCCTCCTGCGTGTGCAGACTGGTGCAGACACAGTGCCTTGCTTGTGCTTGTGCACACAAACCGCGCTGGTGCACCCACCACTGAGCAGGTGCGCATGGGGGCGGGGCAAGGCACAGGGAAGTTGAGTGACTTTGCCCAAGGGCAACATCATTAGCAGGAAGCAAGGTCCAGGCCAGGTGTCCCACCAGCCGAGAACAATTTCTGCTGTCCTGGGACAGGGGCAGGCTCTCCTGTACCTGGGCTCAGACTCCCGGGCACATTTACTCCATCACTGACAGGGTTCACACTCACCAAAGTACCTGGGTCCCCCGTGAGCAGCATGTCCACCTTCAGTCTCCGGGTGGCTCTCCGCCTCACTAAGCTCAGCCCCATGGGCATGAGGGCCCAGTAGCACCAGGGCCCCAGGGCCCCTGATGTCTTCAGGCCCGAGGCAGGGCCCTCAGGCTGTGGGGAGCCCAGGACCGGGCAGGACAAACTCATGCTTTGCATTTGGAGCCCAGGGTCTGGCCCCAGGCAAGACACAGGTTTCTGGAAGTTGGAATTGCAAGAGCAGCACTGACTTCAGGGTCTGAAGGAGAAGCCCTGGTGGGACCTAACATCACCCAAAACAGGAGGAGGGGAACCCGTGACTGACACTCTCCGAGGCTCCAGCGCTATGTCTCCAGCCCCTGCTCCTAAGGGGCACTGGTCTCACATTGCCCAGACAGCTCAGGGCTCGGTTAGACGGCGAGTCCCCCCACCACCACCGGGGTCCTGCCCAGGGCACCCTCCTGCTCAGATTCTGTTACACCATCTTCAGACTGGTCTGTTTGCGAAAGTTTAAACGCTTTCGGCAACTGTTGGATGAAATTCTCACATAGATTTTCCTGATTACTAAGCAGTTAATCTATTTTGAATCCTGCATCCTTTTGAAAGTCTGTCAAACTCTTTCCCCGGGGCGGGGAAGCACGCACCTAATTTTCTGGAATTCAATGATTAAACCTTATCTTTGGGCGATTGTCAGAGCCACGAGGGATAACTTCCGTGGTTCAGATTCAAGAAGACCTCGAATCAGTTTGTAAGGGAATTGATATTCAACAATTCTAAGGGAGCTTTCCCTGAGCTCTGGACCCATGAGTATCCCAGGTGAGGTTCCTACAGTGCTGGAGAAGCAACTGGGTAGCCCCACGGCGCTGGGGGAAGGAAGGAAGGAGAGGCTTTGGTATTTCCAGGTGAACCAACATCTTGAGATTTGTGGTAAGGATCCCAAAGAGATGAGTTTCTAGTGCCTGACGGTTAGACATTCTTTCCGCGTCTCAGGAGGGAAAAGGTTTTCCTAAATTTATCAGCTAGAGGTCAGGTTTTCTTGAGTCCCAGTACTGCTTTCGGCCCCCGTCTTGTGCGTCCAGAGCCAGGCTCCCAGGATGCAGGAGCAATGCTGAATACCAGGGGCGCCTCAGCTATAGCGGCCTGGGGCTCCAGGAAAGGGGGCCAGGGGCTTGCGGTTCAAGAAAGGGTTCCCATCCAGAGGGCTGCCTTGCCGAGTCTGGCAAGAGGGGGACAAGGAACACCGAAGGGCTTCTAGTCACCACGGAGGGCAGGGAGGGCCTGGTTTCCCCACAGTCACAACATACAGACGGAAGGAGCCCCCAAGGCCTAAGCAGCAGGTTCCCAGAGCTCAAAGAGCTGGGGTTGGGTTCCAGGGACCCTGGGGTGCCTCCGGCCTCGGTGGAGGACCAGCACAGGCTAGGATTCAGTCACAGCATCCACAGTGGGGGAGCTCACATGTGGCCAGTGGCCACAGATGCCGTCAGGGCAGGAGCCTGGCCCCACAGGCCTGAAGTGAGATGCAGGGCATGCCAGGGGCCGGCTGGGGTTGGCCTGGCAGCTGTGGGGGTCTGGGGATGAGCCGTGGGCCAGACAGAGCCTGTCCATCAGCCCCCACCCCACTGAGCTGTGTGGGCAGGGGCTTCACTGCTCTAGGCCTCCCTTCTGGTGGCAGTGGGATAGCCACGGCCATGCCCCACATGACTGTGAAGACACCGAGTCCCGCTCCCAGGAACAGCCTGCAGGGCAGAGCTCTGCTTAAAAACGGGGGACAGCGGGGCATTTGTGAGACGCTTCTCTTGGGCGTCCGCCATTCCTGACCTTCTGTCCCGCACCCCTCCTCAGACACTGATCCTCTTGGAGGAAACAGGAAAATCAAGGCAGAGAGGAACCTGCCTGTCACCGTCAGTTGCACATTCATTCATTCCAGTCTTTTAACAAACATTTATTAAGTGTCTACAGTGTGCCAGGCCCTAAGCCAGGCCCCAGGGGACAGTCAGGTCACACACAACCCTCCCTTCAAGGAGGTCACAGTCTGGGGCGGGGCAGACACGGGAGCAGAGCAAGAGGGATGCGCGCCGGGCTGAGTGTGGCGGAGGTGTAAACAGATGGCTGTGGGGGGACGGTGTAAACAGAAGGCTGTGCGGGGGACGGGGCAGTCGAACCGGCAGGATGGAGTCGCCGAAGGCCTGTCCCCCGCTTCCTCAGGGCAGCGTCCTGGCTGCGCTCGGGGGGCAGAGAGAGGGAGCCCAGACACAGAGTGAATCACTGCTGAGTCCCCGCGCCGCCCCCCAGAGCCACTCTGCTCCTGAGAGCATCTCTGACCTGGTCTGCAAGGTCACCTCCTTTCTCAACACTGGGCAGGAAACCCCAGGCCCCCTGGCTTTCGTTTTTCTCCCTTCTCACACCGGTCAGCCGCCAGCCCCGCTCAGGTGCCAGGCTCGGCCCCGGGAGGACACCGCCCCTGGAACAGGCCACCCTCTGGACACTCAGAGCCGTCTGACCAGCTCAATGAGCTGCTGGATGTTTTTGTTCTGGTTGGACAGGCCATTCCTGATGTTTTCCAACAGGCATCTCTTTAACTCAAAAATGGCCTCGCTGTACCCTAAGCTCACCGCGGCCATGGGAGGCACCCCGTGCCACAGGCCAGGGATGTGCCAGATGTGCTGCTTCTCGGGGTCACAGAAGGCCAGGTCCGCCAGCGTCCGGATGCCGCCGCCCTGTTTCTCCATTTGTGCCACGGCTCTGCTCACGTCACCGGGCGGCTCCAGGAGCGGCCTCCTCTCCCTCGGCCTGGGGCCGGGGACACACGCCTCATGAAGGTTCTGGTACACAAACTGATAGTTGGGCATGTGCCCCGTTTTTTCCAACCTCAGAAACGCGTGCAGAATGGCCGGTGGTATGTCCCTGGTCTCGGCTAAACTGACCACGGTGACGTTGCTCAGCCCCATGAGCAACGTGGCCAGGGAGGCCTCCAGCTCAAACCTCTCCCCGGCCGAGGCCAGGGCCCCGCCTATGAGGCTCCCAGAGTCTATCACCAGGATGTGGTCGCAGCCCAGGTCCTGGCTGAAGCTCTCGGCCACCGTGACGAGCTGCATGAAGGCCCCTCGAGGCCCACACCCACGCCCTGTGGCAAAGCGCAGCCCAAACATGGTGTTGAGAAGCGTGGACTTGCCTGTGCCCGGGACACCCAGCGCCGACAGGACCACCAGTCTCGACCTCCGCTCCAGGCGCACATGCAGCTCCTTGAGGAGCCCCGTGACCCAGCGCAGGGGTGTGCTCAGCGTGCTCCCGTCGATCAGCTCCAAGGGGAGTCCCTTCAGTAGCAGCTCCAAGGCCAAGCCTGGGAAGTGGGCAAAGCGCCTCTGGCTGGCCGGCAGCTTCCCTGCCTCCACGAGGCAGCTCTCTGCCTCATAAAACTGCCCCATCTCCCGCAGGAAGTGCTCCACCCCCAGGGGCTCTGGCCAGAGCAGCTCGCTGAAGTCCACGACCCCACAGTGTTTCGGTCTCAGAGTGAGAATGGTCTCCGGAGGCTGTCTCGGCCTCGGCGGGGCCACCCGGGCCAGCCCCCACTCCATCCACCTCAGGAAGTACTGCTTCTCGCCCAGGGAGGGGCCGCTGATGCCCGTGATGAACTCCTGCACGCCCCCGGCAGGCTCGTGTCCGTTCTGCTGTGCCCGCAGTTCCAGCAGCCGGTGCCTCAGCTCGGCCCTGCCCTTGTCCGGAGGGTCTCCGGCCCACTGGGCCTGGCACAGCTCCTTCTCCACCTGGGCCACCTTCCTCCATGGGTCCCCCTGCAGCCTCAGCTCGTCCCTGCGGTAGGCATCCGAGTCTTTGATTTTCCTGGTGATGCGCTCCATCCGGTCCTTGGCCCGCTGACACTCCGCGCAGTCCTCGTCCACCCGCAGCCCCAGCTTGCGCGCCGCGTGGGCCATTTCCTCCAGAGACAGCCTCCTGCAGGGGGACCGGGCCACGTGAGCCACAATGGAGCGGACCCTGCGCACGAAGCCCGCGCTGTCCGTGCTGCTGACCTTCACCAGGACGTGCGAGTGGTCCATCTTCAGCACTGGGATGAGCCTGTTGAGGAAGCGCAGGTTCGTGTTCCGCTTCCCGCGGTACGGGCTCAGGATGAAGTAGTATTTCGTGGCTGACCCCTTCATGGGGTACAGAAGCTTGTACTCCTTCTTGCTGATGTTGTCAGTCAAGATGAACACGGCAGACGACACCTCGGTCAACAGCTTAAACTGCAGCCAGTGAGACCCGATGTCGCCCCTCAGGTTCAGAAAGGCCACGGGCTCGGGGAAAACGTCCAGGTCCTCCCTGCCGCTGGGAAGAAACCAGGAGACTTCCACCAGCCCGTCTGCGATCTCCCGAGGGTTGGTGCCCACGTTCAGATCGCGGTGCCAGAAGCAGTCCCGCGGCCTGTGGCCTGGGCTGAGCACGGCGTTGAGGAGCTGGGACTTGGAGTTGCTGCTGACTTCCATGCGCACGAAGGCGAAGGCGGGCGCCCGCGACAGCACCGCGCTGTCTTCTCGGAGGCTGCCCACCCCCCGTGGGGGCTGCGCCCACCACGTCCGCACAACGCCCCTCAGGGCCCATAGCAGAAACGTGTGGTAGTGGTTCTCCGAGTCGGGTAGGACGAGGGGGAGTGCAAACTGGCAGAGGGACATTCTGTGCATGATTTCTTGTTGTAGGAAACTGTCCGAGGACAGCAGAAGGGCACAGAGGAGGTCCAAGGGGTTCACAGGTGTGTCGGGCGTTGGCAGCTCAGAGAAGGAATAGATGTCCGCGGAGATGTCGTCAGCCGCGTCCCAGTAGATGATCTCCTCTTCCATCTGGCTCTCCTTCTCCGCGGGCCTGGCGTCTGGGGGCGCGTCCAGCACCATGGTGGTGTTCCTGGCTTCAGCGTTGAGGGCCTGCAGCTTCCTGAGGAAATTCCAGGGCAAGTCCTTGGGAGCCTGAGGGGCCCAGTTCTTCATGCTGTCACTGCTGATCTGCAGGGAGTCCTGGAGGCTGAGCTTCTGGGCCTGGTAGGTCTCCAGCCCCAAAAGAGACAGCATTTCCTGCAGCCTGCTCCTCTCCACTGCGGGGGGAAAAGAAGACGTCAGTGCTCACCCTGCGAGTCAGGGGCCCCAGCAGGAGATGGGGAGGGAGATGGCCTCGATCCTTCAGAAAGCGGGGTGTGCACGCCCTGCTCCTCCTGAGACCAACAGGGGCAAACATAGCGAGACACGTGCAATGTTAGAAAGAAGAGGACACCCAGGGGCCACGTTTAAGGATTGGCAGATGCTGTGAAAAGGTCCACATGTCTGGGTTCTCTTGAAACCCATGAGACCCAGCTATGCTGGGCCCACCGTAACTGTGTAGCGTGCACAGCCATGCACCCGCACGTGACCCCGTGGCCTGTCCCACATCCTGGGCGCAGCAGGAATTTCCCACAGGGGACACAATCCCCGAGTCACTCAGACTTTCTAGGTAATGTTCTCTTCTTTTTTACAAATAAATGGGGAGGATTTTTAAAGGAAACAGGAAGTTGTGACTAAATCCAGTCACAGAAATCATAGCTACACAACCATTTTGCAAATCTGAAGCCAATCACGTGGTTTTCAGTGTTACCCTGGCAACGTATTTGGTAGCGATGATCAGAAGCCTGCACTTGTTCAGGCCTTCCACCATCGTCCAATGCAATATGAGTTCTTATGAGCCCTAGGTTTTGCCCACTATCCCTGTCCTTGGCCGTGAGGTGTCACCAATTGTCCTACTGCATATAATTAGTAAGATTTCAGTGTTAACACTGAACAATGAACAATGCAAATCCCACTGAGCTCCAGGATCTTCTCCATCATGAAGCTGCGTGTTCACATAAACCAGAGAACAGTCGGGGGACGGCCCCCCAGCGGGACCCAGCCCCGAGTCACAGGTGCCCGAGCAGTTGGGGGACAGCCCCCCAGGGGGACCCAGCCCTGGGGCACAGGTGTCTCCTCCCCTGAGGGCCCTGCAGGTAGCGCATTCTGCTGGGCACAGGGCTGCGGAACTTACTGCAGAAACAAAAGAGCTGCAGGGGGACCCAGGGGGCAGAAACCCTTCATACTGCGGCTCAGGTTTCTGGGTGTTGCCTGAATGAACAGGGATGTGGATTCTCTTACCCAGACATGAACTGGTTTCGTCCTTTAAGCAGCAGGCAGTGAAATGCGCTGGGGAAAAGCAAGAGCAAGAAACCTCCCGTGCACTCCCACCCGGTGTGGGGCCCGCGGTGGGAGTGCAACCACGGGAACAGCTGAGGGCTTCCCAAACCTGCCTGAGCTTTTAGAATTACTTTGGGAACTCGTCAAAAATAAGAGTCCTGCGCTTGCCCCTGCTAGTCTCCATCTCGGTCACTATCCAGGGCCAGGGGCAAGAGGGGCTCTCACACAGCCGGGTCCTCCTGCAATGGGACAGGGAGTCGGAGCGGGAAAAATGCGTACCTGCTGGGAAGTCACTATCCTGGGCCTCATTTGTACCATCTACAAAAGCAAAGGAAAATGAGGTGTCAATCAAATCAGCGCCTTAGATCAACACAAGTTAGGCTAAACTGGGAACCTCCTTCCTCTCACTAAGACAGGAACTTCTCCTAACTGCTCACAATATAAATTCCCAGTCATGCCCCACTTCATGCGCCTGTCCCCAGGCCAATCCCAACCCTGCTGTCTCCACCTCCACAACCAAACTCACAGTCATCTGGGTCCATGTCTCTCCATTCCAAATCTGGAAGAAAGCACACACATGTTGACTTTCATCAGTAAGCTTGAACCTTTCTACCAAAAGTTTCGTGTTTACTTTTAGTGCTGGGATTGGCTTCAGTTCTTCCTATGTAAATTTCTGTTTTCCAACCCCAAATATGACACAGAGTAGTGGTAGCTACATACAAGATAGCAATTTGCTCTAGGATATATTCTTGTAAGAATTTACTGAAGTTTCTGAGAATAAAATACAAGTAAGTCCATGACATTTATATAGATTAATCTTTGATTTTAGAAACTATTTAAAACATAAGTCAATTGTAAATTCCTTGGCTCAATTTCAAGATTACCTTCTACAAACATCATTTTTATTTTATTTTTTTTTAAAGATTTTATTATTTATTCATGAGAGACAGAGAGAGAGAGAGAGAGAGAGAGAGGCAGGGAGCCCGATGCGGGACTCGATCCCAGGACCCCAGGATCATGACCTGAGCCGAAGGCAGACGCTCAACCATCTGAGCCACCCAGGCGCCCTCATTTTTATTTTTTTTAAAGATTACTTATTTATTTATTTGAGGGACACAGAGAGAGAGAGAGCAGGGGAGGAGCAGAGGGACAGGGACAAGTAAGGCTCTGCACTGAGCATGGAGCCCGACGTGGGGCTCGATCCCAGGACCCTGAGATCATGACCTGAGCCGAAATCAAGAGTTGGATGCTCAGTTGACCGAGCCACCCAGCTGCCCCATTGTGCACTTTTTTATTGTTCTGTGCTGATCCAAGACTATCATCTAATCCAAAATTAAAATTACATTTTTTAAAGCTTATGAATCAAAAAAAGATTCTGATATTTTCAGATTAACTCCTCTCATGATTTCCATATAGTCAAGTAGATTAACGTGGCCTTTCAGTCTTCTTTGACGTGTCTCTGGAGACAGACATGAAGAGCAGAGAAAAGAAACAGGAAATCATGAGAGATGATTCACACACATCAAACCGCAGCGTTGAGCAATCAAAAGATTATTTTATCCAAAGTGGATAAAAGACATCAGAAGAATTTTTCCAAGGAATTCAAAATGCCCTCTGAGAAAATACAGCAGTTAAAGGAGGGGACAAGACACGGAGAAAAGCCTGGAATGGGCTGGAGGTGACTCAGAGCAGCTGTGAGCAGGGATCAAGGAGTAAACCTCAGACCCACAGAGGCTGGGGCCTCCCTTTGTTAGGGATGGGACATGGCTCTGATTGGACTGGACAGATTACAGATGACAACAAGGAGGCCCACCGTGGCCAGAGGGCCCCCCTCTAGACCTGTGGGAGCCACCAAGGGGAAGGAGAGCCTACAGATTACAGATGACAACAAGGAGGCCCACCGTGGCCAGAGGGCCCACCTCTCAACCTGCAGGAGCCACTGAGGGGCAGGAAAGCCTAGTGGTCCATGGGCGGAGATGGCTGGGAGCCCAGGTTGGCACCGGTGGGCAGCGGAGAAGGCAGCAGACTTTCAGGTAGGGACGTGGCAGAAGGGTCCAGGGCTGAGTGCTGGTGGGACTGTGGTTTGTGTTTGCATGTCCCTAGTGGCCAGTGACGCTGAGCACCTTTGCAAGTGCTCACTGCCCATTCATACACTCTCTTTGGAGAAATGTCCGTTCAAGTCCTTTGCCCATTTGTAAATTGTGTTGGTTTGGTTGTGGAGTTTTAGGAGCTCTCCAGATATTCTGGATATTAATCCCTCGTCAGACGCATGGTTTGTAAGTACTGTCTCCCATTCTGCAGCTGCCCTTTACGCCCCATGGAGAGTGTCCTCCAAGGCCCAAAATGTTGAACTTTTCATGTGGTCCCATTTGTCTCATTTTGTTCTTGTCGACTTTGTCTGCGGTGTCACCTCCAGGAAATCGCTGCCACACCCAAATGCGTGAAGCTTTTGCCCCATGTTTTCTTCCAAGCGTTTTATTGTTTTAGGTCTTGCATTTAGGATGACACTGATCCATTTTGAGCTAACTTTTGTATACAGTGTTGGGTAAGGGTCTGACTTTGTTATTTTGCATGTGAATGTCCAGCTTTCCCAACACCATGTGTTGAAAAGACTGTCCTGTACCCAGTGAATGTTCTTGGCACCCTTGACAAAAATCACCTGACCACACACAGGAGGGTTTATTTCTGGGCTACTTCTCTGGTCTAGATGTGTGTCTTGATGCCAGGACCACACTGTCTTGACTGTTGTCTGTAGTAGTTCCATTCTTCCTCAAGACTGTCTTGGCTACTCACTGGCCCTTAAGATTCCATATGAAGGATGGGTTTTTCCTTTTCTGCAAAATGTCATTGGCTTTTTGATGGGAACTGCAATCAACCTGCACATCACTTTGGGTGATACATTTTAATATTAAGTCTTTCCATCCATGGACATGAGATGTGTTTCCATTTATTTATGTCTTCTTTAATTTCTGCAGCAATCTTTTGTAGTTTTATTGTATAATTCTTTCACCTCCTTGGTTAATTCCTAAGTATTTTATTCTTTTCAATGCTAATGTAAATGGAAAGGTTTTTGTGATTTCCTCTTCCATGTGCTCACTACTCATGGTATAGAAATGTAACTGATTTTTCAGTGTTGGCTTTGTATCCTCCTGCTTGGCTGAATTTATTTATTAGTTCTAACAGTTTTTTTGTGAAATCTTTAGGGTTTTCTACACACAAGATGACATCATCTGCAAACAGATCATTGTACCTCTCCCTTTTTCCCTTTTTCCAGTTTGGATGGCTTTTACTTCTTCTTCTCCCCCAGCGGCTCCGGCTGGGACTTCCAGTGCGGGGCTGGATGCGAGCGGTGACATGAGCCTCCCCGCCTTGTTCCTGATCTTAGAGGAGTAGCTCAGTCTCGCACCACTGAGTATGATCTTTGCTGTGGGTTGTCCAGGTATGGTTTTTATCATGTGAAGGTGGTTTCCATCTACTCCTACTTTGTAGAGCGTTTTTATCAAGAAATGGTAGGGAATTTTGTCAAATGCTTTTTCTCCGTCGACTGAGATCATCATTTTCCCCTTCATTTTGTTGACACCACTGAGGATTTTTACATCAATTATCCTAAAGGATACCGGTCTATAGTTTCCTTTTCTTTGTCTGACTTTGGTTATCAGGGTTGTGCTGGCCCCAAGAACGAGTTAGGAAGTTTTCCCTCCCTTCAGTTGTTTGAAAAAGTTTGAAAAGTAGTTCTTGAAATATTTGTCGAATTCACCAGTGAAGCCCTCAGGACCAGGGTTCTTCCTTGTCTGGAGACTTTTTATTACAAATTCAATCTCCTTACTATGTACAGGTTTATTCAGATTGTTCATTTCTTTGTGATTCAGTCTTGGTAGGTTTTGTGTTCCTAGGAATTTGTCCTTTTCATCCAGGCTAAGCAATTTTTTGGCATACAATTGTTGACAGTACTCTCTTATAATCCCTTTTATTTCTGTAGAATCGGTAGTAATGTCCCATGCCCACGTCTGATTTTAGTGATTTGAGTCTTCTCTCCTTTCTTCTCAGGCAATAGAGCTAAAAGTTTGTCAGTGTTGTTGATCTTGTCCAAGAACCCACTTCTGGTTTCATTGATGTTCTGTATCACTGTTCTACTCTGTCTCATTGATCTCTGCTCTAGTCTTTATTATTTCCTTCTGTTTGCTAGCTGTGGGTTTCATTTGTTCTTCTTCTTCTAGTTCCTCAAGTTGTAAAACTGTGTTGTTGTTTTCCTTTGTCTCTAAGTATTCTCTAACTTCCTTGAGATTTCTTCCTTTGATACACTGGTTAGAAGTGTGTGTTTAGTGTCCACAATTTTAAAAAAATTTCAGTTTTATGTTAATTGAATTCCAACTACATCCCATTGTGCTCAGACACTTTGTATGGTATCTATCTTGTAAAATCTATGTAGACTTCATTTGTGGACCTGCATATATCTATGCTGGAAAATGTCCTGTGTACACTTGAGAAGAATGTGTGTGCCTGGGTGAAGTGCTCTGTGTGTCTCTTAGATGAGGACGGTTTACTGTGTTTAAATCCTCTATTTCCTTTCTTGTATTCTGTCTGGTTGTTCTATCCATTATTGTGAGTGGGGTATTAATGTTCCCAACTAATGCTGTAGAGCTATTTCTTCCTTCAATTCTATCAGTTTTTGTTTCAAATATTTTGATGGTCTGTCATTGGATGTGTGAATGTTTAATTACACCTTCTCACTGTATTGAGACCTCTATTAATATATAATGTCCTTGTCTGTCTCTTGTAACCTTTTTTATGTGGACTCTATTCTGTCTGATATTAGTATAGCCACTCCTACTATCCACTGGTTACTGTCCGCATAGAGGATCTTTCTCCATCCTTCCACTCTCAACCTGTTTGTATCTTTGGATCTCGAGTGAGTCTCATGTAGACAGCATATAATTGGGTCCTGTTTTTATCCATTCTGCCCATCTCTGTCTTTTCACTAGATACTTTAATCCCTTTACATTTAAAGTAATCACTGATAAGGAGGCACTTACTTCTGTCATTGTGCTATTTGTTTTCTGTATGCCCTATTTACATACAAAAACTCTGTCCCTTTACATTCTATCCCCACCTCTCTGGTTGTTGATACCACAAAATCACATCTTCATACACTGAGTGCCCCAGAACATAAACTAATAATTCTTTCAAATGCATTAAGTCTTAGAAGTTACAGAAAACAAGATTTGGAGTTACAAACCAAAGTTACAGTGACACTAGATTTACACTTTTTGTTTTTTCTTTAAATGTATTAGTCTCTTAAATCATGAAAAAATCAGAAAGTACAGTTACGGACCATCATTAAAATTGCTAAATTAGCTGTCAGAACTGCCCAGGTATCTACCTTTACTGAGATTGTTACTTCTCGATACAGCTTCAAGTCCCTGTCTAGTGCCCTTTCTTTCTACCCACAGGATTCCCCGGAGCATCTCCTGCAGGTGTAGTGGTCATCAACTCAGCTTTTATTCCCTGGGAATGTTTGTTTCTCCCTCACTTTGGAAGGACAGATTTGCTGGATATAGGATTCTTAGCTCACAATTTCTTTTTTCTTTTAGCACTTTAAATACATCTGTCCACTGTCTTCTGGCCTCTGAAGTTTCTGATGAGGAATCGAGAGATGATCTTGGAGGACCCCATGTACGGATGATCTGCTTCACTGCTGCTTTCAAGACTCGTTCTTTGTCTTTTGGAAGTTTAATTACAACATGTCTCCATGTGGGTCTCTTCAAATTCATCTTACTTGGAGTCTGTTGAGCTTCTTGGACTTTATATTCATGTCTCTTTAAGAAGTTCTCAGCCATTATTTCTTCAAATCTTCTCTTGCTCCTTTATCTCTCTCTCTCTCCTCTTTCTGGGACGCCCACAACAAGTACCTACTGATGGCATCCCACAGGTGTCCTAGGCTCTGTTTGCTTTTCTTCCATCTTTCCTCTTTCTGGTCCTCAGCCTCCATATATTCCATTGTCCTATCTTCAAGTTCACCGATTCTTTCTTCCACCCCCTCAATCTGCCTTTGGACCCGAGTGAAGTTTTCATTCTGGTTACTGTACTTTTCCTTTGGTTCCTTAGGCTTTCTAGCTCTTTATTGATATCACTGTTTTGCTCACATATCACGTTCTTGACTTTCTCTGCATCTTCCTTTAGATTTTTCAGCATCTTTATTGTCTTTAAGTCTTCGTCTAATACATCTGCTACCGCATCTTTTCAGAGACAGCTTTTGTTGATTATTTTTTTTCCTTGAACGGGTCATACTTCCCTATTCCTATGTATACCCTGTAATTTTCTTTGTTGCACACTGGATATTTGAATCTAATAATGTGGTTACTCTGGAAATCAGATTCCTCCCACCCTTCCCAGGGTTTGCTGCTTTTTGTTATGTTTTTTGTTTGTTGTATGTTTTGCTGTAGGCTATCTCTGTGGCCAGGATCAAACCGAGGTGTACAGTTTAGGTCCTCTGAGGTCTTTTCTGAGACTTTCTTTGGGAACACACAATTACTTTCTAATTTTCCCATATATGCAGTTGTTTTGAATGTCCCAGTCTTTAATGTCTGCCTCCCAAAAGGGGAAAGAGCAAAAAGTTAATGGGAGGAAGGATGCTGGCCTTGAAATCCCCTGGAAGTCACTTCAGCTGGAGGGGGAGGGGCTGGCAACAATGAGTAAAGGGTGACAATGGCAACAGCAGTGGCCACCTGCCTCTGTGTCCGCACCTCTGTGATCAGAAGCGGTAACTGGCACAGCAGAGACCCTGGTACTCAGACAGGGTTCCTTCTGCCCCCTCTGGCTGGTGCCTGACGCTCATCTGGGAACGGGAGACAGGGAGCTGCTACTGTGCTAACAGATGAAACTGACCAAGTTAGCTAGAAATTTATTCTGCAAGTCTTCCCCTGGAAGTTGCAAACCTCCAACCAACTCCAGAGGTATAGGACAGTTCATGGAAAGATCCGGCCAGTGCAACTGTCCAAGCTGGGAGACAGATTCCTGGTGCTTTCCACTCTGCCATCTTCCCAGAATCCTCTTTAAATAGTTTTCTAAAATTTCTTTTAAAGAATGAGCTATGAAAGGGGCACCTGGGTGGCTCAGTTGGTGAAGCATCTGCCTTCGGCTCAGGTCATGATCCCAGGGTCCTGGGATCGAGCCCAGCTTCGGGCTCCCTGCTCAGCAGGGAGCCTGCTTCTCCCTCTCCCACACCCTCTGCTTGTGTCCCCTCTCTCGCTGTGTCTCTCTCTCTGTCAAATAAATAAATAAAATCTTTAAAAAAAAAAGAATGAGCTCTGAAGTAATTAGCATTCGCAGACTTGAGATAAGGTAAATGAACTCTGTAGGAGGACTGTATATAGCACAACTAATCTATGCTTTCAGAAAGGGGAGCATGGTTATCACTGGCAGAGGCAGGTGGGGAGAGGGCTAATGGGGGGAAAGACGAGTTCGGCTCCTTCATCTGGATGCTGCTCAAAATAGGTCCGTTCCTCCTTGTGAAAATATATCAAGCTACACACTGGTAAAATGGGCACTTTTTCACAGGTATATCAAGCTTCGATACAATTTTTTTTTAATCCTGTATGTTGAAGAGTTTACTTTCAGTCTTAATAATCATGCTGAAGAGGAAGTCACATAGCTCAAGGAGGAAATTTTTAAAAAATGATTATGGGAGGCTTCTTCACTGGAGAGATAATAAAGATGGAACTCTGGGGAAGTACCAGAGTGTCTCTGAGCCTCAGTTTCCCCAAATGGAACAAAGGACCACTGATAACTAACCCCCTGGCTCACAGCAGGCACCCAGGGAGGTGATTCCCTCCCCTGAGCCCACCCCAGCTGTCTTCCCAGTCTCTCTAGAGCAACACTCTAGTTCCAACAGAACTGCCTGTGAGAAAGGAAATGGTCTCCATCTGCACCATCCAACGAGCACCCCTTGGCTGTGTGGCTCCTCAGCACCTGAAATACGGTCAGGGTGACTCAGCAATGCAATTTTTAATATTGTTTAAGTTTGCATTGTGTGCCTAGTGGCTACCGTACTCAACAGCACAGTTCTAGATCCTGAGAAACAGAAGGGCTTTGGCCAATTACTGCTGGATCCCAATTTTGCTGCGAGGCTTGACCTGGTCATTGATGCCCCCAGGGCCTACCTTCTAGAACATGAGTTCCACGGAGACGAGGGATCAGGGCCATTTTGTTCACTACTGTTTACTATATTCACAGTGCCCTACTGCGAAGCCCGCACATTAAGTGTTCAGTAAATATTTGTTTAAATGAACAAAATAAAACAAAATCTGGTTAATCCCAACTTCTTTGCCTATTTTTGTGGGGTTATCTTTGCAGAACCCTATTAAATCCAATAGGACATATTTATTTTGAGAAATGCCGAATTAATGATAAATTCAAAATGAGTTTCTAAGAGAAAAGATGTCTGGAGTATGGCCACCACCCCTTAAAGCTGAAGTCATGAGGGGCAGCCACAGACCCGGCCCTCAGATCCACGGAGAGAGAGCGAGCCCAAAGGAACCACGGCCAGGAAGACCACAAGCCCCAGCCTGCCCGGGACAGCTCCAGCTTATACCTATTGTCCCAACCAAACACTCAGGAGTGTCCAGGTCAGAAACTACACAGTCACCCTACGCCAGACCCAGGGTGGCAGATATGACGTGGTCAGATTGGGACGATATATTCCTGGTAAACTGCAGGATAATCACCGGTGTGAAACTGAATCCTCTTTGGAATAGATGAAGGAAGTTTAAAACACCCTGCAATGGAATCTTTTCATGAAAGGAAAAACATCAGCCTTAAGCCTCTGTACGTTTGAGGCCTGTGCTCGCCTGCCCCGGACATTCTGTAATCCAGAACCTACCACATGAGCTGCAGGGCGGGCGCAAGCCCCACATTACCTGCAATGGCCACCGCTGTTCGTCTCTCAGATGCTTTTATTTCTGGAGCCACTTCTCCCAACTCTGAACGTCTGAAATAATTGCAAAAGAAAATTCTAATTAAAATAATGAAGTAATACTACAATGTGAATCTACCTATCAAGTTGGCTGCATATCAGAATCTCTCGGGGAACCTTTAAAAACTACAAATCCTGGCCACACCCCGGACCACCGAAACCAGACCTGGGGGTTGGGCCTGGGTATCACTGCTCTCAAGATCACTGCCCTCGATGATTCCCATGTGCAGCCACCACGGAGAAGCGCCGGTCTGGACAAACCGGCAGCACCCTCCACCACTGCGGGCCAGAGCACAGATCGCCATCCAAAAAGACATAAAAATATACATACCCTTTGACCAGTAATTCCACTTCTACCCTAAGGAAATAATTAAGATTTAGTTACAAAGATGTTGATACCAGCTTTACATATAACAGCGAAAAACTGGATGCCATTTATTTATTTTTTAATTTATTTTTGGCTGCCTTTTAAAATCAAAGTCCAATTACAGAGAAGTACGGCACAGTCTTACTCTGCAGTCATTAGAAAATAGTGTGTAGATCTCATTTTGTGGACAAAAAGATGTTGGATGATGTTACAGAATGAAGTTAATGACGTGTATATTAGTGGGAGGAAATATGTGAACATTTACGGTAGGAATATGCACAGTATGGTGATGTTTTAATGAAATCGTGTATATTTACGTGTTCACCTATAGGTATATAAGGAGATCTAGAAGGATGCTCATCCAAAGTTAATAGTGCGGGCAGGGAGGGGTGATCCTGAGTTCTTTTAAGTGGATTTGGTAAATGTAGTCCATTTAAGAATAAACTATTTTAGGTTTATTATAGGAATAAGTAAATGTGTTGATTTTGTCAGGAGCCAGAGTTCTACTGTTGAAGAAGGGACATACAAATATGGAAAGAAGGTGGGGTGCCTGGGGGGCTCTGTCGTTAAGCGGCTGCCTTTGGCTCAGGTCATGGTCCCAGGGTCCTGGGATCGAGCCCCGCATTGGGCTCCCTGCTCAGCGGGGAGCCTGCTTCTCCCTCTCCCACTCCCCCTGCTTGTGCTCGCTCTCTCTCTCAAATAAATAAATTAATAAAATCTTTAAAAAAACAAAAAACAAAAAAATATGGAAAGAAGGAAGTTAGAGAAAGAACCCCCAGAGGTACACTGGAGCTAGAGGCGTAGCGTGAACACACGAGTTCTACACACATGCTTGTGTGCTCACGTATATGTGCACTGGTATCTACACGCATGCCTTCCCTAGCTCCGTCCACTGAATGGGCCAAAAACCAAAGACACTACACAGTACTGACGAGCACACCAAGCGCCCTTTAACACCACGGCACACTAAAAGACACCAAGTCTCCTTGGAGAAATGGCAGATGCCAGGGCCGGGAGAGAACAAGAGGAGTCTGAGCGCCTGATTTCAGAAAATAAGGACGTGCTCAAAGAACGCTAGGGCATGGGGCGCCTGGGTGGCTCAGTCGTTAAGTGTCTGCCTTCGGCTCAGGTCATGATCCCAGGGTCCTGGGATCGAGCCCCGCATCGGGCCCCCTGCTCAGCGGGAAGCCTGCTTCTCCCTCTGCCTCTGCCTCTCTCTCTCTCTCTCTCTCTGACTCTCATGAATAAATAAATAAAACATTTAAAAAAAAAAAGAAAAGAAAAACATGGCGACTGAGTGTCTGTGTGGGTACAGAAACACAAACAGCGAAGGGGGGGGAGATGAGAAATGAGAATGTGAGTGAAAATATTAAAAAGAGCAGACTCTGGATAAGGAGCTCTAGGTACAAATTATTTTAATAAAAAATGTACTAGTGGTTACTTCTCGCTGGGTAGCAGGGACATGCGTTTATTTTGTCCTATTTGAGTTTCTTTAAGCAGAAGTATGTATTAATTAAGACTGAAAGAGAAATAAAAGTGATGCAGTGAGCAGGGTCAGAGTGGGTCAGAGTAAGACATGCGGGTGCCCTGAGGAGACCAGATTCTCCACGGCCTCTTCCAACACTGCGCTGACCCTGAACTCTGTGCAAGACCTGCGCAGACACAGCGATCCAGCTCCCCTTAATTCTCCAGAAAAACACATCAAATCCACCCTCCCAGAGGAAACTCCGGACCCCCCGGTGGGTCTTCCAGCATGTTCTTTGGGGGCCTCGTCCTCTGCCCGCTGCGGTCACTGTCCAGTGCAGAGTGCTAAGCAACGCTCGGCCCCTGACGCTGATAAAAAATGAGAAATATTCATTGCTTTTGTAGTAAGGAAAAAAACCCTTAAAAATAGACAACAACACAACAGGTTAAAACTAGTCCCCAGAGAAGCAGGCTGGCCTGCTGGCCACGCACACAACACCCAAAATCCCGGGGGTCACCAGGCCTCCACCCACAGCACACGGGCTCCCTGGACACGCGCTCAGGCCGCTCCCAGGACAGGGGCTGAACCTCAACCCGTTCCTTCCCACGCAGCAAAGCACATAAGTGACATTATCACAGGGATGACCTGAGCTTGTGCTAGTGTATAAACGTGTACATAGAAATCGGCCCGTCACCCTTGTCAACAAACACCACGTGATTGCGTCCCGGTGCTGTGAGCCATGGGCAGGGCCCAGCCTGGCAGGAGGCAGCAAAAGCTCGGCTAAGTCCCGTGCTGTCCGCTTGAAAGCTCCACCCAGAATGCTCACGTGGCCTGAACTGCGCCCAGACCCCGATGCTGAAACCCTAACCTCCAGCATTACCATACTTGGAGAGGGGCCTGTGACATTTCGTCTTCGTCTCCCTTTCTGACACACAGCTCCTACAGGTGAGTTTTGGAAAGCACCTAAGGATGGGGGCAGGGGGCAGGTTGTCTGGGGAACCAATCGTGTGGTTGGAACTTTCAGTCCCCCCCCCCCGCCCCCGCACCACGTTCTGGCTGGGGAGAGGGGCTGGAGGTTGAACCAATCACCAATGGCCAATGAGTTAACCACGCATGCCTGTGTCGTGAAGCCCCCATAAAACCCCGAGAGGACAGGGTTCTGAAGCTTCCAGGTCAGTGAATGTGAGATCTGGGGAGAACGGCAGGCTCTGGAAGGGCTCGGAAGCTCCTTGCCCCTTCCTACAGACCTCGCCCTGTGCCCAGCTCCCCTCTGGCCATTCCTGAATTACATCCTGTTATAATAGGTCAACTAGTAAGGAAAATATTTCCTTGAGTTCTGTGAGTCACACCAGCAAATTCATGGAACCCAAGGAGGGGTCACAGAAACCTCTGATTTACAGCCAGTCAGCCCCACGTATAGGTGATGACCTGGACTCTTGCCACTGGGATCCTAGGCTGGCGCTGCTCATGGGACCCCCAGTCTGTCGCCCATCAGCCACAAGCATGGCAGCATCTGAAGTGGGGGTGGGAGCAGGCAGGAGGGGGGCTCCTGCAGGACTGAACCTTGACCCTGTGGGATCTGAGGCTGTCTCCAGGTGGACAGGGTCAGACACCCTGCTGGTGTCTCCAAATTCTTGGTGTGGAGGGAACCCCCCCACACACAACATTAGAATTGGGGCGAGAATACCATCTCAGGGGGTGATCCCAGGTAAATGAGGTCCCAAGGCTGGGGCCCTGCTCCGACGTCCTACAAGACGACACGGTGGAGAGCTGGCTGTCTCCACATCTGCAGAGAAACGACCACGTGAATACACAGCAAGGAGCCTGGCACAGAGGCCTCAGGAGACCCCAAAGCTGACCACACGGCCATCGGGGCATCCAGCCTCCAGGACAGTGAGAAACAAGCATCAGTTGCTGAAGTCGCCTGGCCTGTGGGCCTCGTGATGATGCCCTGAGCAGATGAGCATTAAGACCCCAAACCATCCTGCAAGGTGGACACAGGGCATAAAGATCTGCCCAATACCACCCAGCGAGCAAACATAGCCAGACCCAAACATGAGTCTTCTGGTTCCCTTTGGGTTCATTACTTCTAAGACTCGGATAGATTTTAGGTAACTTACAATTATAGCTTGTAATTACAGGAATCATAAAAATCAGACCATGTGCCAACTCCCAACCAGCCCTGTTGTGAGTAACAGCCCTGCTAAGCGGCCTGTGGCCAAGACAGTGGGAACCAAGTGCGCTCACCGGGGCCCCAGACGCAGCCCAGGGGGCTTTCCGCAAAGCAGGCTTGGAAAACTACTAATATCATTAGTGTCTGCTTCTGATCTCCAAAATAAAACAAATATAAAATACAGGAAAGTACCAAGAAAATGCCTTTGCCCTTTTGAAAATGACTCAACATATTAACCAATCCTCTCCCCCTTTCATCCAGTCACACTGCTGTCGCTCCTTCTGGCCACCGACTCTAGAGGATCAGCTTCCGGCTTCCGTGAGGCCGTGCCACTCCCTTAGGGTGAAGTGAACCCCGCCGAGGGGTCAGTCTTCTCGTGAGGCCCATGCGGGGTGTGGAGCCAAACTCGGAGCCCAGCTCCGGTCCTGCCCGGGGCCAGGGGCACAGAGACCCAGGGTGGGCGTGGGCCCCTGGCCTCCGTGCTGACCAGACCTGGGGGGTCTCCACACACAGACGAGGGGTGACCTGCCCACAGCCCTGAGGGCCCCATGTGTCTGGCAGTTCTTCCTCGCTAAGTCAGTAAGCAGACATTCTGGCTTGCACCCTCCGAAGGCTCCCCTGGAGTCTGCAGGAGAAATGAGAACCCTGACAACTCAGCGGCCTCACCAGCCGTCTCTCCCGGGTGATGTGGCCAAGCATACTGCCCTCGTCCGTGCTTTTTCTCTCTTTTTCCAATTGCCGAGCAGATCGACCTGCAGAACTTTTCTACCTAGACCTGGAGATTCTGATTCCAGAGACCAGGGTGTTCAGTGCTCATTGACCGCCCTCTGACAACAGAGACACCTGCCCACCTCAGAGTTGCCCCCTCTTTGGACAGTGTCCTTCAGTGCCCAGAACGAACTGTCCAAACCTCGTGAGCAGGGCTAATGCCCAGCAACAAACCCAGCTCCTTTAGCAGGTGGTGCCAAGAAAACAAGAAGACAGAAAACCATCCCAAACAGGAGGATGCTAGACAAACCGGGGCAATTTTGCTTACCGTCATGCAGCCAGCAACGTATTGTTAACCGCTTTGGATAATAAAAATTCTGACCCGATTTCTGCTGGTTGATGCTGACAGCTTTTAAGACCTGCCACTTCCCCTCCTGCCCCACGCCGAGGCCAGCTGACAAGAAAGCCTGGGGACTCCCTCCCCCGGCACTGGCTGGACCCCTCATCCCATGACCACCCTGAAACAAAACAAAACCTGAAGCCAACTGCTCAGAAAGCCTCACTGAATTAGTACTAAACCTTTTTAAACCAACTAGGTGTGTGCTATGGGTTGAAACATGTCCCCTTAAAATATATGT